GGAGGGGAGCATAGCGTTTTGCTCGCTTACTGAGAGCCCGGGCGTCACGGATGATGCATTGGGCAGGCAGAACCTCGTGCATGGCGGAAGGAAGAGACGAGGGGCTGGTTGTTTGATTGTTACTGACGAGTCCTGCCTCACTGCTTGGAGGGGGCTGTCGTTGACTGGGGCAACCTGTTCTGTGTGTCCAGACAATGCTTGCGCCGAGTGGCGGGGCGCCGTGTTGGTGTGTGCGGCGGCATCATGCGGGGCGGCTGCGTGGCGTTTGCGGACTGTGTGCCTGTGGGTTGATGCATGTGGCGGGAGGCGTGTCTGATGGGAATCCGCAAAGGAGGAGTGACATGCGTTTGGCGGTGCTGCTGTTCGAAGTGCAAGGGAAGAAAAACAAGTGATTTCTGACATGTCTGTGAGTGTGCCACGGCCACCGATGAGTTCTCAGGGAGAGGGAAAGGAGGGAGGGAGACGGAGACTGTGCGCACCGACTGCGGCGTGCGGTGCGACAGGATGCGATTGTCATTACGACGGGTGCGACGGCTGTCATAAGTGCAGCAGAGCGTCATCTGCATCTTTGTGCCCACAGAGCTTGCTGGTCCTGCGAGGAGGTACAGGCAACCTCTCATCATTGGGCGCTGAGGCTCTTTTCCTCTCTACTCAGCGGGAGAAACAAGTCTTCTTGCACGTGACGTGCTGGTCTGTATCGAATCTCCCCACGTGGTGTCACGCCGTCGTGCCGTTGCAGTGCAACGCTTGTTTCCCTCACTGCACAAGTGGCTCCCTCTCATTTGTCTTTTTTGCAGCGCCATTGCCTGCGGTACCTCATTGGGAGGCTGTTCGCTTTTTAAATATTTTACATTTATTTATGCTGTTGGGGGTACTGGGGAGTAATGGCTGCGGGGATTTTGATTTTGTGCTTTGCTTTGAGTGGTGGCGGTGTGTACCGTTGTTGTTTTCTTTCTGCCGCCGCTGCCTTCTCCAATTCTTGGACAGACACGCTAGGAAAGCAAGAAAACAAACGCCAATCACTACTGTGAAATTGTAAGGCAGTGAAAGGACCAACAGCACACACACCGCACACACACACATATTTATATGCTCTCACGTGTTGCTGCAGTGAAGGCACCCCGCACACACAACCGTCGCCGCGTGACCGGATCCAGCGGAAGGAGGAGGGAAGGAGGGAAGGAAGAGAGAGTGAGCCGCGGAGGCCCAATATGTCCCGGCATGTGTTTACTTCCGCGGTGCTTCCGCTCTTTTTTGTTGATGATGTGCTGCGGCCCCTGTGATGCTGTTGTGGAGAGTAATTCAAATTGTGTAATTATCTTTCACTGGAGAGGAATCAATTTATGATTCAATGGATGCCACGAGGGTGGTCAGTTGTGATTTGTTACGTGTAACTTTTCTTTTTGGAGTGAGTGGTGTTGTTGTGGCTGTTGCTGAAGCGCATTACAAGAACCCCAAGGAGAGCGAATTGTATGCTGGCATTGCCGCAAAGTCTATGGAAGTCAATGGAGGGACATGGGCGAATGGAACTGGCATGATGTTTGATTATTACGACATTAAAGTTGACCGCCTATTGAGCCCAACGACTATTATGGCTGATGGAGAAACATGTGCTCTTGTCGGGGGTTATGGCGAGTCAGGGGCTCCATGGACGAAGGTGGCTGTTGATGGCTATTGGTCGTCCAGGTATGCGAGGAGCACCGTTTTCTCTGAAGATGATGGTAAGGATAAGAGGGAGTTTGAGTGGAATCAATAAACAACTTTGAGAGTTTTTCTTGACAGCTTTTTGAAGGATTTCAAACCCAATGCCGAACCCCACAAACAATTTCTGGGTGGTGGCGGTGCACGCATTCGTCTGGAGGACGATGATTCTTATGTGCTGCCCATTCAAGCACTTACTAATGGTGGAGAGGTCGCTTCTTTGATCATACTCGCCAACGGCTTAGTGTATGATAAGGAGTTTTCAAATGATAGGAGCCATGAGGGCTGCATCCAGCCTGCGACGCTTGAATGGGAGGGCAAAGGTCTCCGCATGATGACGTCGTGTGAGGACGGCAGCCGCAGGGCTTGCAGGGCGGACGGAAAGGGGGATTCGGTGGACGGAGGCATACGACACTATTTCAGGCGTGTGGGGCAACTCACGGACACGAACAGGGCACGGCGTGCCGGGTGGCTTCGTCAGTGCGACGATCGATGGACAGAAATTCATCCTCGTCAGCCGGCCGGTATGATCTGGGAAGGAGGGAGAAGAAGAAACGGTTTGGCTTCACTTGTGGCTGACGGACATGAGCTGAATTTATGATGTTGCGCCGATATCCGCTGAGAATGAGAACGTCGCCGCCAGCACTCTGCTGTACGCCGCAGAAAAAGCGTCATTGCGTAAGGAAGCAAAGAAGGAAAAGTGAAAACTGCGCTGCTCGTACGAGGTCGCTGCTGCGGAGGGAGGTAAGCAGTACAACATTGCTTTTTTGGACTTGACGGGGAATTTGAAGGAAATGAAGAAGTTTTTGGCTGCCTGGAAGGAAAGAGACGCGTGCATTGCGAGGGGATACGGCTGCGGGAATGAAAAGAATGACAATAAGCGCAGTGGTTGTGGCGGTGACTTTGGCAAAGGGCTGGTTGGCTTCTTATCCAGCACGTCAACTGTGAATACATGGAGTGGCGAGTGCCCCTGCGTGAATGCAACCGTTCACTGGGCAGTGACAAGTACTCCTGATGGTGGACTGACGTTCCAAGGGTCTGGAGCGTGGGCGAAGTGGCCTGTTGGCGAGCATGGGCAGAAACAGCTGTACCACTTCGCGAACTACAAATTCACTCTTTTGGCGACGGTGTCGCTCCCGGAGGTGATGGAGGGCATCGGCAGCTCCTTTCCTTTGATGAGTGTGAGGATGAATGACCACAAAAGCACGCTGCCCTTTGATCTGTTGTGGGCGAAGAAAAATAAGTGGGAGATAATCTTCAACGGCAGTCGTTTGGCGCTGCCGGCGGATGCCAAGTGGGAACTGAACACAACACATAGGGTGGGACTGGAAATGGATTACTTTAAGGAGTTGCTTGTGTACGCGGATGGATTGACGGTATACGACGGTGGTGGTGAGGATTACAGCTTCTTTGAAGAGACAAAAACAGTGTTGGGGTTCCACAGCGTCTCACACTTTTAAATTGGCGGCGACGGCAAAAGGGACTCAGGAAACATTCATGTGACGGTGAGCAACGTCCTGCTGTACAACCGCGCGTTGTACGATGACGAGCTTAAAGCACTAATGAAGACGAAAGCAGTCGCTGCTTCAGAGGCGAGGGTGCCGGCCCCGAAAGGTGCGCCTGAAAGCAGCCACGCAAGTGAATCTTCTGATGAGCCTGCCAATGGGTCCGTCGCCATGGATGAAGCGCGGCAGGAAGCCACATCATCATCACCACAAAGACAGGACTCACCGGCGCAACCATTAGGAAATAAGAAGGGCCCAACAGTTTCCAGGCAAACTTTTTCTTCTGACGTAATTGGTCTTGCCACCCCAGCTGCCAAGGGGGAAATGGAAGAAGAGGCGGCGAGCAGTGGTGGAATGGCGCCTGCGTTGTCTCCGACACCGAGCGCGGACAGTCGCCAGGAGGTACTTGAAGCCAGGAAACCTTTTGGTGGGGAGCGCCCTGAGGGTGGCCAGGAGCCCTTGCCTCCCAACTTGGCTGCATCGACGATGGGGCAGGCGGGCAAGGCGGATGAAGGCTCTCTGCGGAACGGAACCGAAGAAGATTGGACGCAGCACAGAATTTCACTGTATGTTTTGAGGAGAGTGCACAACGAGCCGGCCAATGCCGACACGCTCACGAGCGAAGAACAAGACGCTGACCGTGAAGAGGACACGCATGTCCGCACTGCCGTGGGCACGAACAGCGGCCCCGATTTACTCAACGGCACTTACGCGACGCCCGCGGATGCCACCACAGCCACGCCTGCGTTCAACAGAGACCAGACAATTGTTCACCACAAGGATAACGTGTCGGATGACGTTGGTGCTGCACCGACTCCGCGAGCACAGCGCCTGGGGGGACAGAGACCCCATTGGAGTCCAACGCAGCGCCGCCTTTGGGCAACGACACTTTTGATTCGGAGAATATCACCGAGTTGATGTCCATTGGTTTAGTTGGCGACAGCACCGTCCATGGATGTGTGTCTCGGGCGTTTCTGCTTCTGCTTTTGGGACTGTGTGGAGTCGTGGCAGGCTCATGAGCCAAAGGGTGTGGATGTGCGGCTCCTCATGGAGAATATTTACCGCTTTTCCCGCGGTCCTTCTTTTGTTTTGTTTTCTATATATATATATATTTTGATGTTACATTATCATTGCCTGCTGCTGGTTTTTGTACTGGGACAATCATCACTCCTGCTCTTTTCTTCTCTTTAATGTTCGTTTGCTGCATGCCGTCATGAGTGACGTGCTTCCCCTCTTCTTTGATTTTTTTGCCCACACGCGGTGCAGACCTCATTGCTGTGCGTCCCACCGACTGCACAAAAGGAGGAGTGGAGGGGACAGGCCGGAGGCCGCATGAAACGTGAGGGATGTTGTGTGGACTCGTGGAACAGTGTGCTCTTTTTAAAATATATTTCATTAATTTTTTTGTTTGTGTGGGTCATACGTAGGTTCTGCCGGAGCCTCACCATTTTTGTTTTGTTTTTGCCCTTTTGGTGAATCCCAGCGGCTCGTTTCTGTCTGTGCCGTGCCTAGTGTCACTGGGGTTTTCCGTGCCGACGAGTGTGTGCGGAGGGAGCAACGCTGACGGTGACAGTGGGAGTGTGGGGAAGGGGCGTGGGCGATGAGCGCTCATTGTTGTTTGTGTTGTTGTCGTTTTGCTGCGCCCTCCTTCTTGTTGTTGTTGCGGTGGTGCGTGACTCTCATCGCTGGAGGTACCGTTGCGTGGTTGTTTGACTTGTCTTTCTCCTTTGTTTTTTGCTCTGCGTTGACGGGGAGTTGGTTTGTGCTGAGGGCGGCACGCAAGTGACAGGAGTGATGGCGATGATGATGACTGGCCGTGTGCTGCTGGTGTGTGCCCTCTGCGTGCTGTGGTGCGGTTTATGTGGAGTTGCGGCCGATGATGTTTATGTTCCTCCTGGTGATAGTGGAACTTCCGGCAAAAATGGAGTTGGGGTTGGTGTTCAGCCTCCTGTCCTATCTGAGAGTCCTGGTGCTAATGAGGATCCAACGGATAAAGATACTGAGGAAAGTGAAGGTGGTTCCCTGGAGTCTGACGATTTGGACAGCCAATATTTACTTACCGAAACTGTTAAGGATGGTGTGGTGGCAGATATCTCTAAGGACGGTTTACCCCGTCAAGAAGAGGGCACCATAGTTACACCGGGTCAGCCGGAACCAGTGCCTCGTGTTGAATTGCCGTCCGAAGCAAAGGCAACAAGGCCACTCGCTCCGAATCCGCAGGAACAGCTGCCCAACACACCAACGGAAGATGAGCCCCTTAGCACAGGTCTCGGAGGGAACAGACCATCTGGGGAACTTGCGGAAACGGCCTCTCTATCTCCTTCAAAGGACGGCGGTGCTGCCAGCGATCAAACTGCCGGAGGCACCACGGACAAAAGTCTGCACAATGATCCCCTGCCTGGGGCCGCGGTTACGGTGCAAAACCACCGTGAGGGAAACACGGAACTGAGCGAGGAAGCAAAATCAACAAAGGCAACTGCCAGCACAACTGATCCGGGGAGTACACAGAACAGCAGCATCAACCCTGCAGCAGGACCCTCGGTGCTTCAAGAGGGGGTGGCTACTCGTGACGCCTCCCCCACACTAAAACCCGCGTCTCCTGCTGCTGGCGCTGAGGGTTCCGCTGGTACTCCTTCTCCAATTGACACCTCGGGCAGCGCTGGTGTTAACTCTCCTGCTGGCATTGCTGGCACCGGTGGCACGACGGATTCCTCTTCTTCTGCGGCCTCGCGGGCGCCGGATCCCGCTCCCTCTGGTGAACTTCCAGGCGCTGCACATTCTGCTTCCGCTGCTTCTTCTGCTGCACCCGAATCCCCACCAGATACAAGGCCGACAGGAGGTGGCAGCCACTACTCCCATGATTCCCCAGTGGAGCTGCAGGAAGAGACTTCGGCTGCGCCACTGACTCAGTTTTCCCAGACCGGCGAGGACGGGAGTGCAGCGGAAGGCACCGAAGAGGACGCCGCCACAAGCACCAACGACACTGCTACCAGCGAAGGCAATACTACGACGGCAAGCATGCCGGCTCCTCTTTCCTCTGCGCCCACAACGAAGGCGCTGGAGAACCGTGTGGGAAATGACGCCTGCTTTCATGACACCCGTCTGCATGCCCGGCTGCTGCTTTTTCTGGCGGCGCTCACGTACGGGACACTTGGTTGAAAGATTGTATGTGGGCTATGCGTGCCAGCATCCAACCGCGGGCTTTGTGCGCTTCTTTTGTTTCTACGCAATAAATAAGGTAAAATGCTGAGCTTTTTAAAATTTGCTTCCGCTGCCCCGCCGTGTGTTCCTTGCTGCTCTCCGTATCCGCTACTTGGCACGTATCCCGGACACAGTCATATGCACGACACGCCCACAGCTGTTTGCGTGGACCATGTTTGTGTGTGAGTGCATGCGCGCTGGAGCCATACTGTGCAGCCCCTTTTTTTTTGTGCTTTACTTTTTCTACTTTTGATGCTTGCTTGCGTGTGT